AGCACCCAGCTCTCAGTACCCAGGATCTGGCTGGGCAGGGCTCTCATGGGCTCCCCTGTCTCATTAGCCGGGGCCCCCACTTTGACCCCGGCTGCCGCACACTGGAAGTTCCAGCTTTGTGGATCCATGCGTTGTGGAAATCTATTAATTTTCCAGCTCTAATTGATGCCTGGCTGTAATTACCTTTCATAACAAGGCAATTAAACCCCATTAAAGATGATTAGCTCATTAAGGCGCCTCCATACGCACTCACACAACCCCTTTCCCCACCCATCAAGTGCCTGGATCATTCATGGTGGGAGAGCACTGGTCAGTGCCTGTGGCTGGACTGCAGAGAGGTGGGTTTGGTTCCTTTCTCTGCCACTGCCACCCCTTTGTGGCCTTGGTTCAGTCACTTTCTCTCTCCACAAGGGAGGGAGTCAGACAGTGACACCCCTGCTCTCCCCCAATGTGCTCTGGGTTCAGGCAGCTCTGGCAGAGCCCTGCTTCCAGCAGGCAGTAGTGAACAAGGACCTGTAGCACATGCCTGGCTCTGTTCCCCTGCTGGGCAGGGTGCTGGCTGGGGCTGTGGCCTCCCCCCCAGGCACGGCTGGTGTGAGTGGGGTGAGAGGAGTAGAAGGCATAGGAAAATACCGCCCTTTTACTGTGTGCGCAAAAGCTAGCACACCTCGCAGTGCTCATACAAGTGCTAATGCCCCCTTAGTGCATGTGCAAGGGCTAGTGTCCCTCTCAGTGCTCATACAAGTGCTAGTGCCCCCCAGTGTGTGTACAAGAGCCAGAGCTCCTTTCACTGCTCGTCTGAGTGCTATTGCCTCCTTGGTGCCTGTGCAAGGGCTAGTGCCCCTCTCAGTGCTCATACAAGGACTAGTGCTCCCTTGGTGTGTGTGCAAGGGCTGGTGCCCCTCTCAGTGCTTGTACAGGTGCTAGTGCCCCCTTGGTGTGTGTGCAAGGGCTGGTCCCCCTCTCAGTGCTCATACAAGTTGTAGTGCCCCCTTAGTGTATGTGCAAGGGCTGGTGCCTCTCTCAGTGCTCATACAAGGACTAGTGCCCACTTGGTGTGTGCGCAAGTGCCGGTGTCCCTCTCAGTGCTCGTACAAGTGCTAGTGCCCCCTTGGTGCATATGCAGCTGCCTCCATCCTGCTGACCCCCCTGCCCCAAGGCTCTGCTGTGCTCCTGCCAGGCTCTGGCCTGCTCCAGCCCAGAGCTTTGATTCGCGCCCCGTCCCAAGCAGGTTGGCTGGGAACGGGTTAATGGGGCATCCTGCTTCCCCAGGACATGTGAAGGGAAAGTCGGGGGACAGGTGGAGCTGCGCGTGGATCCAGGGACGGGGAGTGACGGGCGTCTGGCACTGGCACGTCCCAGGGAAAGGAGCTTCTTAAAGGCATCGCTGCCGTGGATCTAGCCCCCCTGGGGGGCTGCAGTGGCCCTAAAGTGGGGGGACAAGGATGGGGGTGTCCTCCTGTTGGGCATGGGGGGTCTATATTGCATGTTGATCCCCCAACTACAAGCCCTAACCCTAATCCTCCACCAGCCCATCTCTGGGGGGCTTGGGAGAAAGCCCCACAGCTGAGCTGCCTCTGGGCAGAGCTGCCGGCACCCCTGTGCCCCCACCTCTGTTGCCCCCTAGCCCATATCATCCCCCACCACTCTCCCCCAGCACTGGAGCAAGCTCCGCGTCTCCTTCCCCTCCCTGAGCCCTCGTGGAAACCACAGGAATGCAACCACTGCATCTGGATCCGCCCAGGCCCGAGCTGGCGGGGTGGTGCAGCCTCGTGTCCCAGGGAGCTCAGTGCACGTGATTCCGCCGACCCCATATGCATGGAAACCTCCCACCTCGAGAGAATGAAACACGGCTCTTCCCCCCCACGCAAGCTCCGTCCAAGTGTCCAATTGCTCTGGACTGGCGATTAAGGGCAGCTAACGGACGCCGAATGTCCCCCTCTGTCCCCCCAGCAGTAATGGCCCACGACCCACAGGATGGGGCCTGCTTTGCACCATCATACATGCTCTTGTGAAGGCCCGTAAGAGGTCAGGGAAAAGGGATCCACCTTTCCCCGCCATGGAAACCCCATTAGCTAGAACCCCCCAGTATAAGCCCCCGTGGAAGGCTGCAGAGTGGATGAGCCTGGGTAGAAGGGACCGACCCGGCAGTGAGGTGCAGTGGTTGGAGCAGCAGTCCCAGACCACGGATCCATGGGTTACTACACTGCCCCCCGCTTTGGGGGTCTGGGATGGACAGCGCCAAGAATCCCCCGCCCAGCCCGGTCTCAGCCCTTGAGCCGAAACCTGTCGCTGGGGTGAAGCCACGACCAAGCCCCACGTGGATGCTCTCACTCTGGGTGTGCGGGGCCCCTCCTGTTCACACCCCATGCCTCAGTTTCCCCACCCATTGGGCAGGAGCAGCCACACAGCCGTGCTCTCTCAACCCAAGGTGCCCAATACCCCGGGGATGGCTCTTTTTGCCCCTGCCCCTATATCTCACATTGGAGCCCTGGGATGTGGAGCAGCGACTCCTTCCCAGACTTGAAAGAGCCACTAAAGCACAAGGGAGGCATCCGGCATCCCATTATATTCCTACCTTGGCATGGGGCTGTGTGTTCAGGTGCCACCCCCCCCTGCCCTGCCTGGGAGGAGGACTTCCTCAGGGCCCCGGCAGGATCTGCTGCGAGCCAAATTGCATCGGAGTTGGCAAAGCTGGAAGAGCACCCGGGCGGGGGCAGCTGGGAACAATGGAGTTGCTGGCGGCAGTGGGGAGAGAGCTGGGCCAGGTCTGCAAGGGGCCTGGGAGTGGATGGAGGGGGTTGGCATCGGAGCTCAGCACTCCCCGGCCCTTGCACATTAGAGCAGCCACGAGGCTGCTGTGATGCGTGGGGTCTGGCTTGGGTCCAGCGACCAGCTCCTTCCTGGACCTTCACCCCCTGCAACAACCCTGGAGCAGCCCCTGAGCCTGGGACTGCTGTGGCTGCAACTCTCCTGGCTGCAGTGCGGGCAGAGAGACATGGACAGGGGCACCAGGGTAGCAGTATCAGAGGCAGAGATCAGACCTGGGGCTGGCAGGAGAGAGAGACGGGGCGGGGGGCAGAGGGAAGAGGAAGGGAAGAGGAAAGATGGAGAGAAGGAGCATGAAAACAAGCAGGTACTTGGGGCCCTGGGGGTCCTGCAACACACTGGGCTCTTCCCAGTCACTCCCAGGACCCCAGAGACAGCTGAGCAAGGAGTGGGGAGAGGTCTGGCCAGGGCTGAGCTGAGCTGCTGGGGCTGCAGTTGGGTCCCCCAGGCCAGCCCAGGCCTGAGTTACTCCAACACGGCCCCTTCCCCCCTGCCAGCTGCCTGGAACTGCCTCAGTTTCCCCAGGTGCCCACAGATGCTGGAGGTGGGGGATTCTTCTGGCTGGGGGAAACCCAGCTGGCTCGGGTGCAAGGAGACCTTGGCTGTGATTGCCACGGGGCAGGGCTGGCCTGGCACGCACAGAGGTGGGTGGCATGTTGGGCGGGGGCATCCCATGCCCCACTGGAGCTGAAAATCGGGGCCCTGGCCAAGAGACCAATGGGCAGCAGTGCTGTTTGTCCAGCAGACATGGTGGAAAAGCAGTGCAAGCCAGGCCGGAGAAGACCGCGGTCGGGGTAGATGCCAGCATGGATGGGCCTGTCATGCCCGGCTTCAAGTAGCCAGGGCGGCTATGAGGAAAAAGCTGCAGGGACGGTTACACACACAGGCATGCACACACACCTGTGTGTGAACGCACATGCGTGCACATGTGCATAAAACATACACAAATGTGTGCACAAACGTGCACACATATACACACCCACAAACAGGTGCACATATGCACACATACTCCTACACACTAACATGTGCGCAAACAGGCACACATATATGTGCACCCACATGTGCACAGACAGGCACACATACACATACCCACATGTACACACACACACTTATGCACCCATACCCACATTTGCACAAACAGGCCCACGTATACACACATGCACACACTTACCCACACACATAAACACACTCCCATGTGTGCAGAGGCACACATACACCCCCCGACAGGTACACAGACATGCACACACCCATACACACCCGTGCACCCATACCCACATGCACAAACAGGCTCACATATACACACATGCACACGCTTACCCACACACATGCGCACATACACCCACTTATACACAGACATGCACAGACACATATCCATGCACCTATACCCACATGTGCACAAACACACACATACACACCCATGCACCCATACCCACGTGCACACCCTGCCATTACTGCACACGCAGGCACAGGCACACACACGCACACGCTGGCCTGCGTCTCCCTTTGGTTTCCTAGAACCCAACTGTTGTTTTTTGAAAACTGGACCCTTCATCCCTGTTGCTGTGTGCGTCCCCCACAAGCCCTGCCTCTGCTGGTGCTGGCAGCAGGTGACTCATTGTTGCCATGACGGGGAGCAATCAGATTACTAATTCATAAAAAGCCATGTGTTTGCACGTTGCCATGGCAGCAGCAGGGAGTGACTCACTCCAGGAGCTAGTGGTTTTTTGGTGGTTTTTTCCCCCTTTTTTTTAATGGCCCTGGGGGGGGGGAAGTTTTGCCTTGCTGCAAAGAGGGTCTCAGAGCTCTGGCCTGGGGTGTGGAGCTGACAGCTCAGCCCCGCTCCTCCTGCTCCGCTGATGCCCCTCCAGCCTGGCCCGCTGCACCAGGGCTGTCCAGTGCCCACTGCCTCCAGGTCTCCAACCAGCCCCGGGCCCCTTGTAGCAGCCACCCGCCACCCCCGAGAACATGGGGAGCTGTGGAAGCATCAAGGGCAAGGGCATCTGCAGGGGTCCAAGCCATGTCACAGCACATAGAAACTGCTGTAAAATCCTGAGATTGTGCTAAAAAATCATGAGCAATGTTGCAATGGAGGTGGGGGGAATCTCTCCTTGTTCACCAGGCTCCTCTCATCTTTCAGGCCTCAGACATCCTCTCTGCTTCCGCTCCCTTCACCTGTATCCCTGGGAGTGCCAAAAGCTGGAGACAACCGGGCAGGGAGTGGCGGCAAAGTCACCCAACCAGACACCAGTCAGACTCACGACATCGCCCGGAGAACCTCCCCTTGGCCAGATGGGCACGCAGCAGTGGCCTAAGGATGCTCCAGAGGTCAGTTGATCTCCTAGGAGAGGGGAGGCTTGTTAGATGCTTTATCCTGCTCAGCTGCTGGCTCCAGGTCTCAGCTGCTGCCCATAAAGGGTGGGGTAAGGGCAAGCAGGTGAAGTCCTTTTAAAGAGGGGGAGCTGGGTCAGTGCCTTCTCAGGGAATGTGGTGAGTACTTCTGGGTGGCTGTGGGTCAGGGGGGGGTAGTAGAGACCCTCTATGCTACTGGGGGGCTTAGAGGAAATGTAGTGAGTTGGTGGGGGGTCCCTTCTCTCTGGCAGCCCTGCTAGGGTGCTTGTGGGGGCAGCCCCTTATACTTTGCTGGGAGCATGAACCCTGTGGGTCCTGCAAGCCTCTGGCCAGCTTGGTGCTACATACCTAGAGCCCTGGGTGCTGCATACAGAGCTTGTCTGGACCTAGGTGCAAAATGTAAATCCCTAAATCATAAAAGGACATATAAGTATAACCTATACCCCAAATCATAATAGCAGTGTCTTTTGCAATGCAAACTCCTGACTGGGAACACCCAAAATACAACAATATAGTTAATCTCATCTCTGGTTCCTAGTATTGCATATACTCCATGTCCTAACAGCCTGAGATTAATTATGAATAGGCTTCCCTTTCAAAGTGATTGGGGTAACAAGGGGAAGACATTCCTCAATCTAGGTGCCTAGGCTGACTAACAAATACTTTGGGCTCCGCTGTGCTGTAACAGTGACCCATAACTCCTGGTCGGAGGAGCTTGATTTGATTAATCAAGTCCTATTGCTATTTATTAAATGGTTGAAAGTGTTAAACTCAGATAATCAAGCCCTGTTATAGTTGTAATAAAGCTCAGGAGCTAACGACAACCAGGGATGGGTCTGAAAGGTTAACATCTATAATGCAATCAAAAAACCAGTGACCCTCCACCCTGCTGGCTTTATCCAAGCCCAGCTCCCAGTGCTCTGAGCGGGACCTTGGCCCCTAGGCCAGCCTGTAACATTAAACTACCCCTCTCCCACCCCCCACCCCTGAGAGAGGGCTCAGCCCTACCCAGATCCCCATCTTGCCTGTACCTCAGAAACCCTGCCCTGGAGCCTGCTTCCCTGCTCAGAGGGATGGGAGATGCAGCCAGCTCTGGGGAGGACCTGACTTCAACAGCTTGGAGTTTTTTTTTTTCCTCCCAGCCCTGAGTTTTTGGGGCCATGTCCCTAGGAAAGCCCTGAGAAGGGGCTGTTATGGGGTTGGGAAATATCACCAGGCCCTGCTGGGTCCCTGGAGCCCAGCTGGAGCTTGCAAACCCTTGCCCTCTTGTGAAGCTGACCAACCGCGTTCAAATTCAAGGGGGCCGGGGAAGACTGTCCTGGATTTGGCTCCCATCCACTGCCTTTGTGCTGCCATAAATAACAGCAGGCACGTGTCCGTGTCCATGTCCTACCCGCCCCCCCCTGCCCCTTGGGAGGCTGCCCAGGCCTGTGATCTGGATGCTGGGGGGCAGGGAAGGGGGACCACTGGGTGTCCCCCTTCTCCGGGCTGGGCACGGTGCCCCCCTGCCCCGATCCTGCTGCTGGGGTGAGAGTGGGGGAGCTGGTGCTACTCAGTTCCTCCCAGCAAAGCCTTGCCCCCCTGCCTGCAGCTGCTTGCTCCGTCACTACGTCCGAGCTGTCCTTGGCAGACTCCCCCGTCCCCTGCTCCCCATGCTGGGCTTGGAAGCCCTTGAGTCCTTGCTTTCTGTGTCCGTGAGCTAGGATGCAGCTGGGGCTGGGGGCTGACTGACAGCAGCAGGGCCGTGGGGTCCCAGCCTCCAGGCCAAAGGGGCTGGGGTACAGCAGGGCATGAGGTGACAAGCAGGGCATTTAATTCACTGGGCTGGTAATCAGGCAGGGAGAGCTTGGGGGGGGTCAGTCATATCCAGCCTAAAGGAGGCTGAGGCCTATGTCCATTCCCTGGGCAGTGCAAGGCAGAGAGGGGGGTGTTTGGGACCTGAGGGTCCTGGATCAGTTGATCACCACCCTGGGGATCTGGTGCTGTTATCCCGCATGGTACCAGTAGGGAAACTGAGGCACAGGATAGAGCAGTGACTTGTCTTAGGTGTGGTGAAGAACCTCTAAGGACCTCCTGTCCTCACCCCCTCCTTCCCACGCTAGGAAATCCTCACCACTCCCTGCTAGCGCTTGGAAGAAAGCCCAGGTGTCTGGATGCCTGCCCCCTGCTGTAACCCCTAGGCAGCCAGCCCATCCCAATCTAGGAGAGGAGTCCCAGAGCCCCAGCCCCGACCTCTCCCCCAGAGCTAGGCACGGGGCTTTCTTGATCCCAGTAGCCAGGGTCTGAATTACAGGGGGGAGCTCAGGGGCACCATAAGAGATGAGAACCCCCCTGTAAGATTTGAAAATCGTAAGGGGGGGTCTCCCATCTGGTTGCTCCTTCACTTTGGTGGACTTGTTCATCAATGAACCGGCTTAACTTAGTGTTTAACCCGCCCTCCCTGAGCCCTCTCCAAGAGTCCAAGTGTAATTCAAACCCTGCCAGTAGCTCTTCAGAGCTGGTTGTGTTGGGACTGCCCCCCCATGACACCCAGCTTTGCCCTGGCACCAAGGTTCGGATTACACTTTGACTCTTGGGGTGTCTGCAAAAAAAATTGGGCTGCCCATCGTGATGCCCTAATAAACACCCTCCCAGGTTACGATTTTCAAATCTTACAGGGGGGCTTTCATCTCTTACGGGAGGTCTCAGCCCCTCTAATCTCCCCCATAATTCAACCCCTGCCTGGCACCCATCCGGGTTGCAGTGTGCACTATGGAAGCTCATTCGGATTCAGACTGGGCCTGACTCCAGATTATCTCCTCCTCTGGCAGAGGGATGTGGCAGGAGGGGGTACCCTGGGGCTGCTGCCATGCACGCTTGCCCTATGAATTTTCATTTCCACCTAGGAGGAATTTTCTATCTTTGCAGTCTCCTGGGCCTGCTGCAGGCTGCCTGTGCCCAGAAGCTTGTAAATTGAGACTTTTTTTTTGTTGCAAATATCTAGTTAGTCTAATAATATCACATCTGCCACAAATTTGAATTGCACTTGCCCTATAGATTATTTATCATGCCTTGTTCCTGGAAATGCCTCCCCCCTCCTTTTTTTTTTCGGTTTTTTTAAATGAGCAAAAGAGGGGTGGGGTCTGCTTTGCATAACCCCACCCTCCCCCCACCCCTTTTTCCCAGGCATATCTGAGCCGGCTCCAAGGCAGTGACTCAGACTGTCAGTGGGAGCCGGAGGACATCGAGGCCTGACCTGCACCCTGCGCCCAGCATGGAGACCCCCGGGCAGCGCCGGACCACCCGCAGCGGGACTGGCACCACGCCACTGTCACCCACCCGCATCACACGGCTGCAGGAGAAAGAGGATCTGCAGGAGCTGAATGACCGCTTGGCCGTGTACATCGACCGCGTGCGGTCCCTGGAGTCGGAGAACGCGGGGCTGCGGCTCCGCATCACCGAGTCGGAGGAGGTGGTGAGCCGCGAAGTCTCGGGCATCAAGGTGGCCTACGAGTCCGAGCTGGCTGATGCCCGCAAGACCCTGGACTCGGTGGCCAAGGAGCGGGCGCGGCTGCAGCTGGAGCTGAGCAAAGTGCGGGAGGAGCACAAGGAGCTTAAGGCGCGGTGAGTGTGTGCCCAACTCCCCTGGGTGGGGGCATGGGGCGGGGAAGGTATGCTCAACTCCTCCAGGTGGGGGCACAGAGTAGGGAGTGTTTTTCCCAACCTACCGGGGCCTGGGGCAGCACGTGTGTGTGTGTGTGTGCGCGCGCGTGTGTGTGTGTCGCTCCCCCCCCCACCCCCCCGGGCGCGGGGGTTGGGGGCGCGAGTCCGGCCAGCTGTGGGGGGTCCCTGGCGTCCCCGGAGCCCGGAGCAGGGCTGGGAAGAAACCCGGAGCTCCCTCCCATGCGGCCTGGCGGGTTTGTGGCGTAGCGAGCTTGGCAAGCGGGGAGGATTGGGGCGGGAGCAGCCCGGCTCCAGGTCCAGCCAAAAGGCTCTCGGCTTGTTGGAGGCCAAGGGTTGGTTTTGAAATCTCCTCCCCTGCAAGCAGCTCATGCGTGGGCAGTGGGTGCTGGTGGTGAGAGAAGTGCGAGGGGGTCCCACAGCCGATTTGGCCCTGTTGCCCGGGTTTGGGTCCCAGCATCATGCCCAAGCAGGGTGCCATGGGGGATCTGCCCTCCCAGGTGGGGGCAAGGCCCTGTGGCTGTGGGTAGGGAGTGGCTCGTGCACCTGGAAAGCTTCAGCGCTTCTGGCGGCCCCTGGCCACAATCCCAAAGCCGCCGTCTCCCATTGACGTCAGTGCCGTTCGGAGCCGGACAGACTTAACCCTTAGGGCAGAGCCCACCGTGTCCCTGGCACCTTGCTTCTCCAGCCCTTCCAGGGGGCAAGATCAGGGCCTTTCCCGGCACTGGGCCAGGCCCTTTTCCCCATCCGCCCTGGGTCTCCGGCCTCTTACCCCCCGGCCTGGACTAAGGGATGGGCTGGAATAAACCCGCCTGGAATAGGCCAGAAATAATTCCCCTCTGCCAGGGCCAGCGGCCTGTTGCACGTCCTTTTTCAAACCCACCCAGGGATTATATTTAGCTTCCTGTCTCTCTCTTCAGCCGGGATCGCTCTAGATAAACCCCGCTGGTCTCTGCGGCTCTGCCTGTGGGTGACCTGGCTGTGGGGCCATGATCTTTTTGATGCCAATCTCCACTTTATCCCAGCTAGGGGAGCAGGAGTTTGGCAAGGGGGTGGGAAATCTCTTCCTTTTGCTGCTCAGCCAACCTCCTCCTGTGTCTCTGTCTACTAAACCCTTCGTTATCCAGTTCCCTGCCCACCGCTGTGGCTATCCACCGCCCGTCCCACTCCACACTGGGTATCGTCTGTGCCAGTTTTGTGCAGCTCACCAGAGTGGGGTAACCAGTAGGCGCTGCTGCCTTTCCGTAATCCTGGGGGAACAGTCGCCTGTCCCGAGGAGACTCTGCTGTGATGGTTCTGGCCTGAGTTTGGGATCTGGCCAGGCTGGATCGGGCATTGGCTTTACAGCTACTAGTTAGCTTTGCGGCCAGGGATCCAACAGAGAGCTCTCACCCACAGGGAGCCGGTGCCATTGCACCATGTCCCGTGGGCTGGGGGAACCGGCTGGGCTAGGAGGCTCCCCGGAGATGGGGAGCACCTCGGCTATGGCCCCATGACTCGGGAGTGGGATTTGCCTGAGTCATGGGCCCAGCACCCCCTGCCTTTGTGGGGGGCTCCTCGTGGATCCTGCCCAGCTCTGCTGTAGGTGGGCTGAGGCTTTGGTGGGCTTCAGGAAACTTCCCTCTGGTCAAAGGCATCCTCCCGGGGTCCCCCACAGGCCAGGGGCGGGGGAAGATGCTTGGGCTCCTGGTAGGGCAGCTTGTCAGACCCATCCGGTCGCTCTAGCACCTCAGGCTGGCAGATCCAGCCCTGCTAGGGATGGGGGAGTCCAAATGACAGAGATGAAACCCAGGCGTGTGGGCTCCCAGAGGTGCCGCGCCCAGCGGGCATCGAGGCCAAGATGTTTCCAGCCTCTCACATGTGCAGGCGCTGGGGAGGTTTCCCAGACACCTGCGGTGTCACACCCTGACCAGGTGTGACTAGGGGTCCCCTTCCCAGCTGGCCTCTCAATCCCCCTCCCCCTTTCTGGTTCTGTGCCTCAGTTTCCCCATACATTAAGGATGAGGGGCAATAACTGGTCCTGTGCCCAGAGGCAGCGGTGAGGCTGGGGTCTGTAGCCAGGGCAGTGAGGATCAGGGCCCCTTGGACCAGATCTATGCCTGCGCCCTGTCTTTCTGAGCGGGTGTGTTGGGCTGGGAGCTCCAGCGCTGCCCAACGCCCACCCTTGCCTGGAGCCAAGGCAGAAACGCTGTGGGTATCTCCCCTGTCTGGCCTCCACCGGCGGCAACAGGACCCTTATCTGCCTCCAGCAGCTGCATTGGTGCTGGACAGAGAGAGGAGGAGAGGAAACCCCAGGGCTCCCGGTGGAGGCGGGGCTGTTCTGGCAGCTCTGGGTATAGCTGGCAGCCAAGATTTCCCCCACACCGCACCCAGGGCTGAGCCTACATCCACTCCTTTCCTTCGAGACTGCAGCAAGGGGGTGGCCTGGCCTATCTAACTGAGCGTGCCTGGGAGGCAAGGGGAAACTGAGGCAGCCACGATCCTGCTGCCATGCCGTCAGCCCTCCTGCCTCGGTTATGCTCCCTGAGTCAGGAGGGGAACTCGGGTGTCCCCACTGCTCTAACCATTTCGCTATATGGTCTGTAGGATGCAGGCAGGGCATGGGGACCTCGTGGGGGGAAAGTGCAAAGGGAAGGTGGAGAGACGGGAGTAGAAAACACCCCTGCCTGATGGCACCGGTGTGCCAGGCTCTGGACTCACGGGGGACCTCACGTGCCACATGCAGCTGGCTCTGGGGTGGAGCGGGGTTGCGGGCGGAGCCGCACGTGGCCCTAAGTGCCAAGCCCTCCCATCAGCCCCCGCTCCAGCGACTTTCCAAGGGGCCAATCGCCTTCTAGTGCATCCCTTGGTAGCCGGCAATTGGCTCGCACTCGGCCAATGGGTGGGCAGCGGCAGCACAGGGCACAAGGGCGCGGCCGGCCTGTTGGTGACTCATCGGTGCAGGAGGCGCCCACGCCCTTCCCTGCAATCCCGGGGGCTCCCAACGAGGCCTGGGATTGGTGGAGGACGCCTGGCTTGGCGCCTGCTCCCACATACACGAGAAGGGGGGTCCAACCAACTTTGATCCCCCTCCTGGCGCCATCCCCCCCCCAGCACTGGGATGTCTACCACGCACTGGTGCATCCTGGGAAAAAATCCATTTGGGTCCCTTGGGGGATCACAGGGTGCCACATGTGACTTGGGGCGGGGGGGGGTCAGGACATGCAGAGCTAGGAAGGAAACCCAGGCATCCTCGAGCCTTGCAGCTCTCACCACTGAGCCACGTTGCCCCTCTAAAGACCACCCAGTGCCCTGGGCGTGTCGGGGTGGGCCTCAACGTGACCAGACTCAGCAGAGAGGAGCTCCTTCCCTGTTAGTTACCAGTGGGAGAGTGTGTGTCTGCTAGCTACAGCCTGGGGTTATATATCCCAGAAACCTGCCTCCTGTTGGT